TTCAGCATTAGTGGATATGTCCTCTGACCCCATGTTGGCTAAACACAGGTCCCCTATCCCTGAGGGCTCGCTCCTCCAGAACCTTGGTGATATTGCCTGTCACTTAGACAAATAGAGGGGTCTTGTCACATGGCATTATGAATTCCCACAGTTCCTTGGCAGACCAGGACTTTGGAACCATCTAATCCAACCAATACCCAGGATCTTCCTCCCTTACACCTACTGGGGATTGAACCCTTCACACTGAGCTACATCCCCAGACTTGTTTTTATTTATTTATTTATTTATTTTAAGACAGGGTCGTGCTAAATTGCCCAGTCTGAGTTTGACCTTGGGATCCTCCTGCCTCAGCCTCCCAGAATGCTGGGATTATAGGCATGTGTCACCAAACCCAGCTCTGAAAACATTTTTGAGCAGTGTAAATCTTTTCCCAAGGGAAATCTAACCCACCACCCTAGTATTGGATAGAAAACCAATAAAAGCAGTGTTTTAAGAGCAGTGTAGCACTCCATCGACCACCACCCATAATTCCTTCCCCCCAGATTAAAATGGTCTCTGATTTATGCAGAGGCAACTTTAGAGCCTACATTCAACCAGACAAAGTCTCTTCAGCCTCTGCTGCACAGATTCTGTGCAACCACTGTATGCCCCACTTTATAGTACTTGCTTAAAGTAAATCAGTGAGGGGAAGAAAGGCGCTGTTCTCAAGGCTGTAAAATATCACAGTGGCACTGACATTTAGAAATGGGAAGAAAGGAACTAAAGGTGTAGGGAAGGTGGGATGGGTAGGGGAAGGGTAAAAAGGGAAAAGAAAAAAATGTGAGATAATGAAAAGATGAAAATAAAGTGTTAAAAAAAATATCACAGTGGAAGTCGGTTACACTTGCCATGCACCGAGCCTCAGCACTGGATATCCTTGTCCAGAAAGTACTGCAGCAGGCAATGAAGTGGCTACAGGTACCACCTGTTCTTCTCTTAAACTGGAATACACTTCAGTGAGCCAGGGAAGCCCAAGTTATAATGGAAGAGCTGAGGCACAATGGCGCATGCCTATAAACCCAGCTACTCAGGAGGTTGAGGCAGGAGGATTGAAAGTTCAACCGAGTCTGGGCAAGAGACACTGTCTCAAAAAACAAACAAACAAACAAGGTGGGTGTGGTGGTTCATATATATAATCCCAGCATCCGGGAGGCTGAGGCAGGAGAATCACCTTGAGTTCAAGGCCAGCCTGAATTACAGAGCAAGACCCTGCCCCCCAAAGTTTTTTTTCTGTCAGGGCTGGGGGTCAAACCCAGATCTTCTCACCTGCTGGGCAAGTGTTCTACCCCTCAGCTGCTTTACTTCCAGCTCCTAACATATTTGTAAAAAGTGACTAGACTCAAATGCTGCAGACCCCAAAAACATCCCTGCCAAAATATGGCAGCTCAGGTTTGTCCCTGTCCCGAGAGAAGGAGCTTGGGGTCAGGGATGGGGGCGGCTGGGCCCCCTTCCTAGAGCGGGGTGGTCTGGCTTGCTCGAGGCCCCGGTCTCCGGCCCAGCGTCCTGATGTCCCCTAAGTCCCCAGGGAAGCCACCACGCAGCCAGTGGGTGAGCAGCAAGACAGGAGCGCCGCTCCCACTGCTGCCCGGAAGCCAGGTGCAGCTCCGCAGCTGTGGCCAGCTGGGCGGGGCCCCAGAGGCCGGCTGTTGTGGGCGGGGCTCAGGAGCCAACTCTGGGCTTCATTGGCGGCCTTGGCTCACCCTCCACCCTGCCCAAGCAGCATGGCCCTGCAGACAGCGCCCACTGCAGTTCTCCCACAGGAGGGGAGCTCAGCCCCTGGCCCTCCCTCCTTAGCTTTCTTTTCCCTGCTGCCAATCCCTGGTTCCCACTCCTAGGCCCTGGCTTCACTCAAAGACAAAGATGCAGACGTTGGTTGTGATGCCTCAGGCCTGTGATCCCAGCATTCTGGGAGGCTGAGGTAAGAGAATCGCAAATTGGAGCCCAGCTGGAGCAATCGCGACTTAGCCAGACTCTGTCTCAGATCACAAATTTTAAAAAGGGCTGGGGACATAGCTTTGTGTGAAGGCCCTGGCTGCAATCCCCAGTACCACAAAAAAAGGACAAGGATGCCTGTCACAGATGTGATGGAGGAAGGAAGACACTGGCAGTGTCGCAAGGACTGTGTCCCTGCTCACCCTGGGCCAGGAAAACCTAGGCCTTGGTGGCATCACCTTGGATTTGGGGCTTGCCCTCCCAGAGCCTCAGTTTCCTCATTTACAAAATGTGGGAAGCAGGGCACGGTGGCACACGCCTGTGATCCCAGCAGCACTCAGGAGGCTGAGGCAGGAGGATTGGCATAAGTTTGAGGCCAGCCTGGGCTATATAGCGAGACCCTGTCTCAGAAAAGGAGGGGGATTGCTACCCGGGGAGTCAGGAAGTTGAGAGAAGTAACTAAATAAGCAGGGAAGAGCTTAATCCTGCTGAGAATTAGCGCTGTTTCGTTTTGTTTTCTGAATTCACCATCAGCCCAGAGTGGTGAGAATGCTGTGTCCAGGGTGACTCGGAGCTGCTGACCCCCCCAGTGCCAGGCAGGGCACACCTGCCACCTCTCCTCACCTGGGTTCCTGGGGCTGTATGACACCTTGTGTGGCTTCTGCTTTGGCCCACATTTCCCAGGTGGCTCTCTGCCAGGTTGGCATCTTGGCGGCTGGGCTGTTCCAAGGCTGGCATGAAAATCCCGCGGCTGGAAGACAGGGGACCAAGCAAAGCAGTCTTCCCAGTTCCCCTCCCACTCTGGGGTCACCCTCCTTCCTGCCCATGGTGCAGTGCCGACCAGCCTGGTCCTGAGTGTCCACAGGTGCAGAGGGAGGGCTGGGCTGCCCCTCTGGCCGAGGGCTTAATAACAGCCCAGAGTTGCAAGGCCACTGGGGGCCCTGAGGGGACATCATACCAGGTGGGGGCTGGGCAAGGCTTTCTTAGGGAGGGGGCACTTGGGCAGGACCTGGCAGAGAGCTGGGGGTAGAGGGAACAGGTTGTTCTGGGCAGAGAGAACAGCCAGGGTGAGAACAGAGAGACAGGAAAGACAGGCGTGTTTGGGCCCAGGGAACAGTTTGTTGGCTCTGAAAGGAGAAAGGTAGGCTGCAAAGCTACGTTGGGGTCACATTATAAGAGGTCTTGAGTGTGAAAGGGAGGAGTCTGTGGCTAAATGGGAAGGTAGTAATGAGCCATGGTCAGTTTTGAGCAGGAATAGTTCTGGTCAGTGGAACTGAGGGGCCATGTGGGGCATCCTGGTGTGGATAAAGTCTGAGGAGGGGTTGGTGCCCCGTACACTGACACTGTATGCAGCAGCTCAGGCCACCCCACCTGGGTTTATCTGCCTCCCGCCTGCTCTTTAGGGGTTCTGACACTCCTGTCCTCCCTCTCCCAGATGAGGGCGGGTCCCTGTGAATGAGGGTGCGCTGTGCCTTCTTCCAAGCTGTCACCAGAGCACCTGCAACACGGACTCAGCCCGGCCCTGCCCACAGCGTGACCCCAAGCTGCCCTGGGCCTCAAACCCGGCTCTGTCACTGCAGCTGGACAGTGACAGTGCAGGACTGACAGGACTTCAGCACCCCAGAGGCTCAGGCTTCTCCTTAGGGAAGGGCCCGAGGCGCCAGGCGGCGGGCTCAGGAGTCTCTGACAAGGTCTGAGGTCCCAGAAAGGGGTGGACGTCACAGGACAGGAGCTGCTCAGAGCCCCCCACCCCCACCCCGCTGCCGAGCTCACTGTGAATCTTCAGCAGGGCCAGGATGCAGAGTGATGGGAACTCTGTGTTCAGCCCTGGGCTCTGGGAAGAGCACGAAGACGGCAGGGGCCGCAGCCTTCCAGTTTCTCCCCCTCCCAGAGAGTCAGTGGGTGAGGGGAGCTCGGGATCTGAGCTGTCTTCAGGGGAGGCAGATGCCGGGAATCAGGGAAATCAGCACAGGCCCGCAGCCTTTCCTAGGGGCGAGTGGTGAGCTAGTCACAAGCCACACGGAAACTGCAGCATGGACACCAGGGAGACTAAAAATTCAGCCAGCGGATACGGAGCAGCTGGGATGGCGTGGGGGAACTGCAGGCGGGGTCCCCAGCATCCCACAGGCTTCCCTCCGAAGTCCTCCAGGTCACTGGGGGAGAACCCTGGGTCCCTGGGGTGCTCCCTGCAGGGGTCCCAGCTAAGTGGCAAAGCCTTCCCCAAACCCTCAGGGACAGTGGGAGGGGCAGCATCGTAACCTCAAAGCTCTTGCGTGGGGAAAAAACAGAGGCTGGGCTGTCCCGGAACAGCCACAGGGCTAAGAGCGACACCCAGGTCAACTACAAGGTGTGACTGCATCCCCTCGGCTTCAGGCCCCTGGTGAGGGGCAACCTCTGGAGGTGGATTTCTAAGCCTGAGTCCTGGAGGAGACTCAGCTCTGCCCCTAGCCTTGGCAAAGGGCAGAGGCCTGGGCACCACGATGTCAGCCAACGGCCCTGCCTCAGCCCTACTGTGTGGCAGAACCCTCTGGTGCTGTCCTGGGCGAAGTGGGGCGTCACCAACACTCTAGCCTCTGCCCATGGGACACAGTTTGCAACCCCAGGGTTTGGGGGTGTTGTTTGTTTGGTGCAGAACTGGGAGGGGAACTCGGGTGTGCTACCACTGAGCTCCATCCCCACTCCTTTTCTATGTTTACTTTGAGACAGGGCCTGGCTAAATTGCCTAGCCTGGCCTCGAACTTGTGATCCTTCTGCCTCAGCGTAGGGTAGTTGGGATGGCAGGTGTGTGCCACTACATCCAGCTGGTCTAGAATTTACAGCCACCCTCCTGCCTCAGCCTCCAGTGTGCCGGGATTACAAGCATGTGCTCCCGCTCCCAGCAGCATCCCCCAGTTTTGGGAACTAAAAGTGCCAAATGGCGCCCTCCAGCCCTGCTGGGAAAAACTAGGCTCGACCCTGGGATGCGACCCTGGGATGCGGGACGCACGGGCTTTGCGGTTGGCTGCTCAGCGCTGCCTCTCTTGCAGGAAGGAGTCATGGCAGGACCCGCCCTCCGCAGCGCCCCCCTACGCCTTCTAGTCCTCCTGGGGCTCCTAGAGCTGAGCCTAGCGGGCTCCCTAGCACCCGGATCGCCTCTCCAGACCCCGCCCGAGAACCACATCGACCCGCGGGGCCCCGCGCTGTGGACGTCCCAGACTGGCCACCACCGCCGGCGGGGCCTGGGCAAGAAGGAGCGAGGAGCGGGCTTGCCCGGGGCTGTGGCCACTGCCTCCAGGCTGCCAGGGCAGAGCCCCGCAGGCCTGCAGGACAAAGACCTGCTCCTGGGGCTGGCGCTGCCCTACCCCGAGAAGGAGCAACGGTCTCCGGGGTGGGAGAAGGCCAGGAGACGCGGCCGCGAGCACAAGAGGCGCAGGGACAGAGCGAAGCTGCACAGAGGTAGCTGGGGTGGGGACGGGGCGGGGCCGGCTCTCAAAGGCCCTGGGCGGGGAGCACCCAGCAGATGGAAGGGGGTCTCCCCAAAGTCGAAGGGATCTGGTTAGGGAGGAGAGGCCTGGGGTGCAGCAGGTACCATGGAGGCTGTCTTAGCCATCGATCGTCCCAGCCCGGAAGTTCTACCTGGTGTCTGACCGAGTCTGTCCCAAGCAGAGATGGCACAGTTCTGTGCCCTAGAAGTACACCCTTTAGTGGGCTCTGAATCTGCAGAGGGGGGCTAAACGGCTCTGAGCCAGGTGTGGTGGCACGCGGGTGCAATCCCAGCAAGCTGGGAGGCTGGGACAGGAAGATCAAAACTACAGCCTGGGCAACTTGGTAACTCAGTGAGACCTTGTGAGGTGGTCGCCCCTAGGGACAGGCCGAGAGCGCAGCCACCGGGGAGGGATGTCTTGGAGCCTCAGCCCCCTGGCTTGCGTAAAACTGGGGCTCGCTTCCTGCCAGCCTATGGGAAGCGGAACAGACCCCCAGTGGGGCGGGGCAAAGACCGGGCCCCGCCTCCTGCCCGAGGCCGTCCTCATTCGGTTTAGGGTTGGGTGTGGTCGCCCATGGGACCTCCGGAGGAGCAGCGGGGCCTCCCCGGAAGGTTGGTTTGATGGCTCACTGGCAGGGGACAGGGAGCTGTGGCCACCGGCTCTGACACCTCGGGCAGACTGGGCCTCAGTTAATGAATGGCTCTGAGGTCCCCCTCCCTTCCCTGGGATTCGTCCCGTGGAGGTGACCTTAACCCAGCTAACTGCGCCGGGGATTTAGCTCAGTGGTTCTGCCGCCTACCTTGCAAGCCCAAGGTCCTCAGTTCTATCCCCGATACAGAAACAAACAAACAAACAAACAAACAAACAAAACCAGCTGAACTCACACTGGGTCTTCCCTGGAAAAGTAGGCCCCTGCCGACCTGCCCACCTCCCCCACTCACACCAGCCCAGGGCCCTGTGCCTAGGATGCAGCACAAGTGTTTAAGTGAATTGGCTTTGTGCTCAGGCAGACCTGAGTTCAAGTCCAGGAGCTGTGTACCCTTGGGGAAGTCGCCTAACTTGTTTCCATTTTCTCCCCTATAAATGAGGCTTCATGAGCACCCTCTTCCCAGTTCTTGTGCAGTGCTCAGATAGAAAGGAACACTCGCAGAGTGGCCCAGCTGGGACCCCGTTTGGCAGTTGCTCCACAAATGGGCTGCTGACTAATGATCAGCGCACCAAAAGCCCTGACCTGTGAGTGGTAGGCTGTGGCTCTCATCTCCCAGCAATGCCCTCGGCCTCTTCCTGCTCACCTCTGCCTGGAAGCCTTTCAGGGTCCATCCCACCAGCTCCCACTAGTTGCCTCTATGTCCCTGGCTGTCCCCAACCAGCCCAGACAGGGACCTCATAGAGCGCTGTTTCCAGGAGGACCCTTGGGCGGGCGGGGGAGCAGCAGGCATGTCAGCTGAACCAAGGGCTTGTCACCCTGTCACCGGGTGGACCAGGCCAAGCCCGTGCCCCCCCACCCATCTCAGGCCGAGCGCTGGTCCGAGGGCCCAGCTCCCTGATGAAGAAGGCGGAGCTCTCTGAGGACCTGACGCTGGAGGCCACCATGGAGGAGTCCTCCACTAGCCTGACCCCCGCCATGCTCTTCCTCACCACCCTGGAGGCAGCGCCCGCCACGGAAGAGTCCCTGGTCCTTCCTGCCACCTCCCTGCAGCCCCAGGTAAGGGGCCCAAGGCAGCCTCGGGGCTGGGAGGGTTGTGCAGCCCCCTCCTAGGACACTTAGGGAAACTGAGGCACCACAGGAGGGCATTGGTGGAGGCCACCAGGCCTAGACACACAGGCAGCTGTGCGGTCACGTGGGGACAGCCGAGGAACTGGGGAGGCCCAGAGCGCTGATCTCTGCCCTCAAGGCCCTTGGGAAAGTCCAGGAGAGGACGGAGTTGTCCCAGTAACTGTAAACACCACACCTAGCAACCCAGAACTGACCAGCCTAGGTTAGCACTTGACCTCTGCACTCTGGATCTCTGAAAAAGATGCATAGGGAGTGAGAAAGCAAGCAGATGGGACAGAAACGCCACCTCTTGGGCATTGAAGAAGCATAGATAGGCATCAATCGTAGCTCTCATGCCTTTTCCAGGACACTGGTAAAATTTTCAGAAATAAAACCATTGGAAGGGATCAATAATAATATATTTTATATGTCAATAATGTAGAATAAACCTGGAGTGGTGGCCCATGCCTGTAATCCCAGCACTCAGGAGGCTGAGGCAGGAGGATCGCTGTGAGTTCCAGACCAGCCTGGGCTACATAGTGAGTTCCAGGTCAGTCTCAACTACATAGTGAGACCCTGTCTAAAAAAACGAAAAAAAAAAAATGTAGAATATATTATATATGTGTAAGAAAAATAAAAAAATTATTTGTGTCAGCACAGTAGCCCTCCCTCATCCACAGTTTTACTTTCTGCAATTTTAATCAGTTGTGATCCAAAAATATTTGTGTGAGGTGTGGTAGTGCACACCTGCAATCACAGCACTTGGGAGGCTGAGGCAGGAGGAGTGCTGTGAATTTGTGGCCAGCCTGAAATACACAGTTCAGCCTGAACTGCACAGGGAGGCCCTGTCTCCAGCTAACATAGGTGTATGGGCAGGAAAAATGGATCAGTACCATCCACAGTCACAAGCATCCTCTGGGGTACCGGGAGGCAATACCCCCAGGTTAACGGGGGCCCATTGTGGATCTTTCTGGGTCTTGCACTGCCATGGGATTCTGAGGAAAAGCTGTGGCCCAACCCCAGAAGTGCATGGTTATCCGAGCCACTGAAGGCCCCCTGAAGCCCACCAGTGGAGCACCCTGGCTGGTGGCCGATGAGACCCACCTCCCTGTTCCCCTCCGCCCCTTACACAGGCACCGCCCCGGTCTGATGCGGAGGTGATGCCCACGCTGGACATGGCCTTGTTTGACTGGACTGACTATGAGGACTTAAAACCCGAGGTCTGGCCCTCGGCGAAGAAGAAAGGTTTGCAGGGGTCCCTGCCCATCCTGCCCCTGCCCCCCCAACTCTTCTGAGTGAGCCCTGTGTGCCAGGGGCTTGGGTGGCTCCACCTAAACCAGAACCGACACTCAGAAGGAAAAGAGCCAGATCCTTCGTGGGTGGGGAGAACAATCAATGAGTCTGTGCTGCTGAGAAGGGGAAACTGAGGCAGAGAGCGCCAGAGTGTCCTGTCCCAGCCACACTGTGTCATATGAGCACTGTGACACCCAATCCTTGTGCTTAACGCCTCCCCTGGGCTGGGCCTCGGCTTCTGATGACAGATTTTCTTGTCCCCAGAGAAACACTGGGGTCTGTTCTCCAGCAGTGATAACGAGACATCACCAGCCGAAGGGGAGCCCTGTGACCATCACCAAGACTGCCTGCCAGGTACCACACGTACACCCAGGGCACCGGGGCCGGGGGTGACAGGGACAGGGCTCCCAGGTGCGGGACAGGTCCTCGGGACCCTTTTTTTCCTTTCTGGTGCTGAGAATCGAATGGCACTGAGCTACATCCCCAGCGCCACCCCCGCCCCAATTCTGTATTTGGAGACAAGATCTCACTAAGTTGCTAAATTGCCCAGCCTGGGCTCCAACTTGTGATCCTTCAGCCTCCCCGAGTACTGGGTATTTTTGTGTTTTGTTTTTGTCTTTCCAGTACTGGGGCTCGAACTCGGGACCTTGCGTTTCTGAGGCAGGCAGTGTGCCACTGAGCTAAATCCCCGGCCCAAATTACTGGGATTATAGGCGTGAACCACCGCACCCGGCTTCCCATGACCCTTACAGACAATACATAAAGACAACAGCAGTTACCAAGTTTCCAAGTGATGCTGTCCGGTGTGAATTTATTCAATATATTACAGCAACCCAGACAGGGGCACCTGTCACCCTCAGTCTTCAGGCAAGGAGAAGCCAAGCATCTCTGACTCTGACTCTGACAGCTGCCTCCGTCAAGACAGCCACCACAAGGGGCCTGATGCTTGGCTGGTGCCCAACTCTGTCCCTTGTCAGTCAGATGGGCCCTCTGGAAGCAGACGCTGAGTGGACTTAGAAGGGCAGGAGGCAGCTGATGTGGCGGAACCCACCTGTAATGCAGTGCTCTGGGAGGCTGAGGCAGGAGAGTCACAGGTTTCAGCCCAGCCAGGGCAATTTAGTGACTTCGTGAGACCCTGCCTCGAAATAAAAAAATAATAATAGTAACAGAAGGGCTGGGGATACAGCTCAGTGTGAAGGCCCTGGGCTCATTCCCCAGGACTGCAAAACCAAAACAGGCAAAGTGTAAGAGGTCTGTCTTGGGGGTGGGGTCACGGGTGAGGGAGCAGAGTGAAGTGAGGCCGGTGGATAGACGCCACGTCGGGCTATGCGGGGTCACCCCACCCGGCCCCTGTACCCCACTGTAGGCTTTCCTCCCCAAACCATTGTTCCTTCACACCCTGAGCACAAAGACTGCTCAAGTTCAAGCCAAACTTGATGCTGGGCCGACAAAGCCTCAGCCCAAGGCATCCTGGGCATCAGTGTCCCCCTCTGTCGAAAGAGGGCGCCGGTGTCAAAGGTCCTTGAGGCCCCTCCCTGCTCTGAGCTGACCCCACCCCAGCACCCTAGGTGACCCCACACTGCCCTCGGCGCTCCCGTAACCCAGCAGTTGCCCGTCTGGGGTGGCTGGGTCTCTACCATCGCCCCCTCATGATGGATTTCCTGTCCCGTGGGACCGGAGTGGCGGGGTAGGCTGCTTGGCCTGGCTGAACACTGCATGCTGGTTGTGTCTGCAGGGACCTGCTGCGACCTTAGGGGACACATCTGCATACCCCACAACCGCGGCCTCAACAACAAATGCTTTGATGACTGCATGTGTACAGAAGGTGAGTTGGGGAGGGGGCTCCCCGTGCTCCAGGTCCCTCGGGGTCTCGGTCAGCTGGCTCTGTAAGCTGGGTGTGGTGGCACCAGCCTGTAATCCCAGTGGCCTGGGAGGCTGAGGCAGGCTGATCTCAAGTTTGAGCCCATCCTGGGCCATTTAGCAATGTGGTGACATCTCCGGGAAAAGGGTGGGTGGGAGAAACACTTGGGAGCTGAGCGAGTGAAACAGCTTCTCTCCAGGCCTTTCCCAATCTGTGAACTCGCTTTGTCTTCATTCCTGGCACCCTTTCCTGGATTTGCTTTCCCTGCCTCCCGAAACACAAGCTGGAGTGATCTCCCAAGATCAGCAGGAGGGAGTGGGGAGGAGACGGGCGAGGGTCCATGGAAATGAGAACCAGGCAGAGGGGCTGGTGTTCTCACTCAGATTTCAGCCCTGAGACATCCTCGGGGCGTGATAGGAGCACTGCACAGAGCAGAGGGCTGGGCCGGGAGGAGGCTTGGCGCTGCCTGTCTTCCGCCCCGGGCTCCCAACTGGCTGGAGACTCAGCCCGTTCCACTCATGCACACATACCTGGAAAGGGCACTCTGAGGATCCACTGCAGAAGGAAAGGTTCTTTGTTTTGTTTTGTTTTTTTAAAACAGGTTCTTGCTGTATAGTTCAGGCTGGTCTTGAACTCACTTTGTAGCTCAGGTTGGCCTCGAACTTGGATCGATCCTCCTGCCTCAGCCTCACAAGGGCTGGGAGATGCCAGGCTCCAATTCTATGTTCTGAAAAACTTCAAGCACAGACATATGGAAGCAATCACAATGCGTCCCTGCACCCATCTCTGAGCCTCAGTAATGGACCGACTCTTGGCCAGAACTGAACAATAATTACTCAATACCATCCAGTATCCAACCCATGTTCCCAGCCCTTCCACAAACCTGAGAGGCGTTCGAGCCATTTTTACTCACCTGCTCCTCCAAAAGGATCAGCTTGGAAAGGAACACACCCATTTAGGTCTGATTATGCTTCCATCTCTAGTCAGTTAAGAAATACTGAGCCAGGCATGGTAGTGCAAACCACCACATAGTCCCAGCACTCCAGGAGGCTGAGGCAGGAGGACTGCAACAAGTTTGAGTCCAGCCTGGGCAACTTAGTAACTTCGCCATTGAGACCCTGCCTCCAAATTAAAGCAGAGACCCTGAGAAGAGGGCTGGGGGTGTAGCTCTGTGGTTCCAGTGCCTGCCTCGTAAATTCAAGGTTCTGAGTTTGATCCCCAATACCAAAAATAAAAAATTTAAAAAGCCAGAGAGAGGAGTAAATTCTAGGCCCCTAACTAAGCACAATCCTCTCTGTGCTTCCTTTCCTGGCCACATAGTGACAAACACATTTTAAAGGAGAGACATCCCCTCTCCCTGGGGTCACTCCCACAGGAAGTCCAGGGGTTTCCCAGGTCACTGACATCTCTTTCCCCAGCCATCAGGAACATGTGACCTTCTGTCGCCTTCAGTGAAAACTATGCCTACCCACGTGTCTCAGGGGGCAACTGTCACAACAGACAAAGCCCAAACCTCCAAATCCTGCCACTGATAGGCCAGAAGGGCTACCCTGGCTATAATTACAGTTCTTAAGGAGTCTCTTTGAGATCTAAAGGCTGAAGGAGACAACTACACAAAGAACCCAAAGAACCCAGGGAAGGGATTTCCAGTGGAGAAGACAACATGTGCAAAGGTCCTGAGGCCACTATGAGTACAGATCTGAGGGGAGCAAGACTGGGCATGGCTAGCATCAGTGAAAGGGAGAGCAGGGGTGAAAGCAGCAGACAGGTGGCCTAGAGAGTCCAGGTTCTGGAGGACCTTGTAAACCAAGGCAGAAGGGATTTTGTGCAAGGCTTCACCCCCAGCCAAGTCTCGTTTAAACTCATCCAGTTGTGCTCTGCAGGTGGTTAGGGTGCCATAAGAGAGGGTGAGAAGCCCTGTATGGAGGTGGAGAGGAGGAAAGGCAGGAGACTGGTCTGCTGTGGGCCTGACCCCCTTGCCTCCCTCTGCCCAGGGCTGCGCTGCTACGCCAAATTCCACCGGAACCGCAGGGTCACGCGGAGGAAAGGCCGCTGCGTGGAGCCCGAGACGGCCAACGGCGACCAGGGCTCCTTCATCAACGTCTAGCCGCAACCTGCCTGGGGACTGAGCCCGGGAGGCGGCTGGGGCAGCTGGGAGCGCGAGCCGCCCATGTCCAGGAGCTGAGAAGCGGCGCACCTGCTCCTGCGCACCTGCGCCGCTCCGCTTGTGGTCCTCAGTGGCCGCGTCGAGAGTGCCCTCTACCGTCCGACGGCAGCACTGCAGCAGTTTGAAAACTACCCGCCGGTTTTGGAGAGAGGAAGCGAAAGGGGGTGCTGGGCAGGAGAGTCTGGAACACCCCCGTGTGCCAGGCGCGGTGCTAAGCGTGTGGCATGCATGACCTCAGTGAATCCCCACAGCAACCTTTCCAAGTAGGCGTTCCCATTTTCCAGGTAAGGACACAGAACCACACCCGAGTTACGAGGTTTGTCCAGAGACCCGGATGAAAGCTCCTCGAGCCTTAACGTGTGTAGGAGTCACTGGGGACCTAGCTAAGACGTGGACTGGGAGATTCGAACCTGGGCCAGGGGCATAGATCGCCAAGGCCTTGTTCCTGCCCTTCCACAGCTGAGAATTTAGTCGAGTTTCTCCGTGGCTTCCAGCAAGAAAAAATGCATCTCCCGGTAGTTCCTCTTGCTGTGGCTGGAATATTTGTCTGTTCTCGGCCTCCCTTGGACACGCGTGCTCTTTTTATTTTAATTTAAATGCTCATTAATCACCTGTTTGCAGTAAGGAAAGCTCCAGGCATATTGGTCCCTCCACCCTCAGGGAGCTCATATACCCTGAGACACAGTGATCAGGGGAAACAGTCAGGTTCCTTGAATTCCTGTGAACCTGCTTATCCTACTCTGGAACTTGCACTTGTCCTGAGAGAATCTGCCACAGCAGCCCTGATGCTCACAAGGTCCCTAAGAAGGACTCGAGTCACCCAAATACACCCACTTTGCATATCGTTTGCTGTCTCATGGCCTCCCAGACATCCCTGGACTCTACCCCACAGTTCTACAGCAGAGCCCATTGGGAAGCGGGGGCACCTCTGCTGTGAAGCACCCCAACAGGCCAGACACACGCTGCCTACCCAGAACATCTGACCGGGCACTTCTGACCCCAGACAGCTGCTCAGATCCCCCCACCCGGCATCTGAACCTTCTGGTCCAGGACAAACCAGCCTGCAAATGGCAAAAGCCTTCCCCGTCCAGATCCTCTCTGGCCTGGACCCCAGCCAGAGGGTGACGGGGCTGTTTTCTGCTTTGGGGAAATCAGTCAAGGGCAGGGTTGGCACCCAGGAAGGTAACAGATCTAGAAGAAATCAAATATGCTTGCTCTTCTCTTGCTGTCCGAGTCTGATAGGCATGGGAATCTTGGGGGCAGAGAGAGGGCAGGAGAACTGAAAGGGATCAAAGCCGGCTGGCAGGAATGTGGGCCTGCAAGCAGTGCTGTGTTTGAGACCAGACCCGCTGAATGCTAGGGAATAGGCGCTGAACCCTACGAGGGGCTGCAGAGAACTAGCATTGTCAGGACTAGAGGGCCTAACCCTGAAGCCCCCGGAAGTCAGCGATGGAAACAGAGGGTCAGGGCTCAGCTAAAAGGGCCTGTGCCTGGAAATTCCAATCCCCTCTTTGCCCCAGCTACCGCCATTTTGCCTTTGCAAAGTGGGGACAGGAGAGTAGAATCCTCTTAACTCCCAAGCTGGGGAATCTGCCCCACTGGAACATTCTTAAGTTTCTTCCAGGTCTAACTAAGTTTCTTCTGCTGGTGCAGAAGCCAACTTCCTCCAATCCAGAATTCAGCAAACCTTTAGGTTCTGCAGACCTTAGGGTCTCTGCCAACCCACTCAACTCTGCCACAGCCGTGGACAAGATGGAAATGAATCGGTGTGGCTGTGTGCCAGCAAAGCCATTTACAGACACAGACTGGAATTCCAGATGACTTCCCCGGGTCACAAAATCATATTTGCATTTTTTTTTTTTTTTTGTACCAGGGATCGAACTCAGGTCCTTGTGCTTGCAAGGCAGGCACCGGAACCACTGAGCTAAATCCCCGGCCCCATATTTGGATTTTCTAAAACCATTTTAAAATGTAAAAAAAGCTCACAGATTGCAGAAAAATAGGCAGGGGGTCTGATGGTTCAACAACTGTGTTTGGTTCCTTCTCAGGCTTGGCTGAACATTGGAATAATCAGGAATTTCCAAAGACCTGAGCAAAGGCTCTGTTTTAACATAGAATTTTTTTTTTCAGTGTTGGGGATGGAACTGAGGCCTTGCACAGGATAGGCAGGTGCTGTACTGCTAAGCTACATCCTAGTTGGACCAGGGATTTAGTTCAGTGGTGTTGCCACCTGCCTGGCAAACACAAGGTCCCGGATGAGCTCGATCCCTGGTACCAAAAAATAAAAATAAAAGGATAAGCTTCATCCTGTTGGCCTGGGCTGTGATCTGGGCTTCCTACTTCTCTTAACTACCCCTGCCCCAGGTGGCTCTAAGTGCAGCTGTCTGCAGCAGTAACAGCTGGTGACAGAAGGACTTGTTCCACCTCCCACCACTTTGCTGACCTTAGGAAAATTACTTAAGGTCTCTGTGCCTTGATTTTTTTTCATCTGTAAAATGGGGATGATAACCGTTCCTTTGTAGGGGTATTGTGACGATTAAATGTGAGACAGGGTCTCACTAGGTAGATCAGACTGCTCTGGAACTCACTGTGGCCCAGGCTGGTCTGGAACTCACAGCGATCCTCCTGCCTCAGCCTCCCGAGTGCTGGGATTACAGGCGTGCACCACCATTCCCGGCTTGCATACTTCTTTCTGAGGTGTTTAGAATGGTGTCTGGCAAATGTACTCCCATCCACCCTGTAAGCCAATAAATCCTTCCAGGAGGCTTTTAGTATTTGTTCTGCACTCGGACCCTGATCTCTGGCAAACTCAAAAGTCATGCTTCACCATGCAGGCTCCCTCCCCCAAGCGTGGAATGAGGTCGGAGTGTAAGGCAGAAGCAGGGGCCAGCCTGGTGGTGTGTCAGGTTCTGGTGCTGAGGCAGGGCCGCAGGAGCCAGTGGCTTTGCAATGACAGGTTCATGAGTGTAGAAACGTACCTGGGGCAGGGAAGGGGGCGCCTGGGGAGTTAGCTCAGTGGTTCCGGCGGCTGCTTTACAAGCGCAAGTACCCCCAGTTACCCAAAAAAGTTCGATCCCCAGTACCCAAAAAAGAAGCACCTGGGGAGACTTCTTAAGGGCCCAAAAGGAGACCAGTAGCAGCTGTGACTTACTGTCCCCTGAGCCCAGCCTGCATTCCTCCACCGGAAGCCTTGCTGCTCTCCCAGACACCCTCAAAAATTCCTTTCCCTGCTCTGTCTGGTGACCCCAAGGCTGGTTTTTGTGTCTGCCGCAAAAGGCCTGAGGATTCATTCCTATGGCCTGCAAAAATGACACCTTTATTTACCCCTGGAGGAGTAACCGAGCCACAGGTCAAATTCCAAAGGCACAATCCCTACCCCTGAGGTGCTACAGGGACCAAAGGCACAATCCCTACCCCTGAGGTGCTACAGGGCCACGTTCACCCCTACCCAATATTGAGACCGGAGGTGAGGGGATTCTCAGCTCCCCAGGCTGAAGTCCACTTTGCAGTTGGAGGAATCCCGAGACGATGTTTATAAACAACAGAGCCACTAGGAAGAAAAGTGAAGAGGTAGAGGCGCAAGACTTGGTCTAGGACACAGGGGAAACCAAGTGCTGGACCCTTGGGGACATTCGGATGCTTTGGGTCATTTGTTTTTATTTGCAGTACTGGGGATTGAACCCAGGGAATGCTAAGCTATATGTCCAGCCTTGTTTTAATTTTATTTTGAAAAGGATGACTAACTCTGACCAGCTCATGAGTCCAGAGTCCCTGCTCCTGGGCTGACATTGGTCCCTACGTTTAGGGGCCATCAGGTGGCACATCTGGGCCCAGGGCCCTCAGTCATAGGGTTTTCAGACTGTTAGGAAATTCCTGGGTGGGTCTGTGGCTTCTCTTAAAGTGTGGGAGCAGCAGGGGAAGGGGTGCTACACCCTTGTAGTCCTGTGACATCACGTTGCATGTGTTCGCTCGAGCTGTAAATAAAGAGACATGGTTACTAAGTCGAGTGGTCATCCTGTTCCTCCAGATGGTCAGTCTGTGCTGGCACTGATCACTGCTTGGGCCCGGGAGGGACCCTAAACCTGCTGTGTCCCCAGCATGTCCCACTCATTCACACATCAGATTTGAGCAGCGAACCAGGTGGTCAAGGTCCCTTCCTGGGCTGGGACCTCTAGCCAGATTGCTCCGGTGGAGATCTCTTCCAGGGTTGGGATAGCTGAGGTCCCAAAGAAACAGGGTGGGTGGTCAGGTTCTCAATCTTGCAAGAGGCCAGGGGCATAGCAAAGCAGACGCCAGCTTCTCAGGAAGAACAAAGAGCTGCTGACGGAGGCCGGCTCCAGGCAGGCTCCGATGGCATTTTGGGAAAGCGTGTGAGCCACCAGGTGGTAGCGTGGCTTGGCACCAGGAAGGATGTGGCTTATCTCAGTGTCAGTTTCCACGGGCAAGGCCCTACTCTGTGGACCAGGGCCTCTAAAGCCTGGCTGACACGGCAGGCCGTGGGACAGCTGTCGCTGACACTGTGTTCCTGTGTCCCAAAGCCAAGCCAGAACCAAGACACTCCTGGGGCTGGGATGACTGCATACTTGGAGCCCCCTTAGTATCTGATATCCATCCCTACAGAGATCTCTGTGCCGAGCCTGGACAGGGGAACCTGGTCCCCAAACCCAGGGCTTCCTACCACATGGCCTGGGACAGCCAGCATGAGAATCTGGAGAGCAGCCCAGGTTTCTGAGACCACCCTGGGCATCTCCAGGGTGGGCTTGGGCTCTACCTGCTTGACAACTTCAGGCAGGGAGCTGCCGAGCCAAACCTCCCTGAGACTCACTGTCCTTCCTGCTCACGCCCCAGGCAGCCTAAGAAGCTACTGCTGAGGACAGACTACAGTGCACCCACCCCTGCTCCTGTCAGTGGTTGCAGAAAGCCATGCTGGGCTTCTAAGTCCTTTCTATTCTGGGGTCTCAATTTGAACCCACTTCTACTAATATGAGTCAGCAAGTTGCTGAGATAAAGGGTAAGACCGGCCACATCCAAGGCCACAAGGACAACCGCGCTGTGTGCTGGTGACCAGGCTGCAGCCCTCAGGGTCCAGTGGCTGCAGGGGGACAGAGGAATTAGGGCTCTTCGGAGAATTGAATCAAACCAACAGGATCTTTATATTTATTTATGCATACATGTGCATGTGTACATGGATGATATACATATAGTGGATTATTTTAAGGAGTTGGCCATTGGGATTATAAGAGTGAAGGAGTCTATAATTTGTAGAGCAAGCTATATAGCTACTGTCAGGATCTTTGTTGTTTTGTTTTGGGTTTTTTTGTTGTTTTTTTTTTAATACTGGGGATTGACGAGGCAGGTGGTGGAACCACTGAGCTAAATCCCCAGCCCTGTTTTCTTTTGTTTTTTGAGATAGGGTCTCACTATGTAGCCCAGCTGGCCTTTAACTCCAGGTGATACTCTTGCCTCAGCTTCCGAAGTGCTGGGATTACAGACGTGCATCACCACGCCCAGCATCACTGTTACAATCTTTTTTAGTGGAGGTGAATGGGTACAGGTCTTGCACTCCGGACCTTGTGCTTTCCAGGCAGGCAGTGGAACCACTGAGCTAAATCCCCAGCCCCACTGATAATCTTGAAGCCAGACTTCACGTCTATTTTTGCTCTTATGGCCTGACCATAAAGGCCACTTGCCCGAAGTGGTGCTAAACTAGTTGGTGCCTGACCCGGAGGCCCCACCCCAGTGTGCCTTCCTATGTCCATGACCTTGTGTTTCCTCTCAAGGTCGCTGAGCACCGGCTAGGTAGGTAGCCGGTCTTTGATCACAATCCAGGAGCTGTGCAGTTCATCCGGGACTACCACGGCTGCTTGCTGTGGGAGCTGCTACAACTGAGATGCACCGGGACTGAGGACCCGAACCCTCCGGTCAGGCTGCCTCCTGGTGATTATCCCAGGGCTTTCCAGCCAGCTGGAGCAAGAAGAACCCTGCCGCCGGTCTACACCACCTTCCATTTCCTCCCCCTCCTCTTGTCTCCCCCGCAGCACCAGGACTGACTCAGGCTCCATTACTACCCGGAGCAAGGAAGGTGAGACCTCCGGGAGCTGTGGGCAGTGAAAGCCGACACCCAGATAGGCCCAGGGACAGATAGGCATCTCGGGGGCCTCAGAGCCAGCAGCCACACCAGCTGTTTGTGCACCGAATGTCCCTCCTCCCGGCGAGGGCACAGCCCTCAAATGCCTCCTTTGGAGTTCCAGCACCACCCAGGGGGACAGATGGGAGGCTATGCCTGGGGGAGGTGGCCGCAGAGGGAGGTGGGGCTGGACCGGGAAGAGCTGCGCGCTGGGTTGCGGGGAGTGAGGTGCATTCTGGGAGGGCCCGCTCTGGGCCGGCGGGCGGGGTCCCGGGGCTGGAGCGCAATGCCGGCGAGCTGAGGGTCTGGAGCACGCGCACGCGCAGTTAGAGAATCGCTGCAGCGAGCATCAACGTATGAAACAAACGCCGTAGAACAGAGGCTCAGAGCGGTTGGAAGCGGCCTTCCTCTAGGACAATGCCCGCTTCTTCTGCCTGCTTTCTTTCCGACCCGGCACTGGCAATTCCCTTGTCTCCCTTTTCTTCGATCACCAAAGATATCACAGGGCGTTTGTGTAGTTGTTTTCTTAATTTTTATTGGTACATTTGCAGCACATAATGATCACATTCGTCGTGGGAGTTGGTGTAAGGACATAACACATCCTCATTCTTTTTATGCCCCACTCCCTCCATCTCCTTGGTCTCCTTCCCATTTGCAAAAATCTCCGTTTCCTATCACGTATTTTAAATTTTGCTCCTCTTTATTTATACTTTGGGTTTCTCATATAAGAGAA